GGCCATACCCAACACAGACGCTGAGCTCACGGTTGCGGTGGTACTGGCTGAGGGCCATACCCAACACAGACGCTGAGCTCACGGTTGCGGCGGTACTGGCTGAGGGCCATACCCAACACAGACGCTGAGCTCACGGTTGCGGTGGTACTGGTTGAGGGCCATACCCAACACAGACGCTGAGCTCACGGTTGCGGTGGTACTGGCTGAGGGCCATACCCAACACAGACGCTGAGCTCACGGTTGCGGCGGTACTGGTTGAGGGCCATACCCAACACAGACTCTGAGCTCACGGTTGCGGCGGTACTGGTTGAGGGTCATACCCAACACAGACTCTGAGCTCACGGTTGCGGTGGTACTGGTTGAGGGTCATACCCAACACAGACTCTGAGCTCCAACAGGCTGCACGGTTTTTAGTTGATCTGATGAAAAGATGGAGGTTTTATTTATGAGTGAGGGAACGGTGGAGCAGGACATCGACGGTCAGATCGGTGCAGCATCTGCTGTATTGTGGACTCTGTGCCGGTCCGTTGTAGTGAAGAGGGAGCAGAGCTGCTCTCTGTTGACCGGTCGGTTCACGCTCCTGCCGTCACCTCTGGTCATGAACTCTGGGTAGAGACGGAATGAGACGAGATCGCGGAGACAGGCGTTAAAAATGAGTTTTCGCCTGGACTCTCCCTTTGAGACAGAAGTTCAGTTCTCCAGGAGAGACTCGGAGGAGAACCGCTGCTCCTCCGCATCCATAGGAACCAGTTGAGGGTTTGGGAATCTGGTGAGGATGACCCCCAAGGGAGGTGTTCTGGGCATGCCCAACTGGTAGGAGGCTGTGGAAGACCCAGGAAGGCTGGAGACTGTGTCTCTCGGTTGACGTGGGGACGTCTTGGAGCCCAGAGGTGGGCTGTGGAAAGAACGGACGGACCAGAATCAATCCACAAAAGAGCCAAAGACACTTTTCTTTAAAGGTGAAGGAAACCGAAATAAGAAGTCAAAAAGCACAAAGTGCCACAGAACTCGTTCTCTCCTAACCGGCGCACGACCCGGTTAGAAGTGAGGAGGGAGGAGCTTAACTATGAACCGAAGAGGGAGGCGTCTAAAAACACATTTTCATAAGTCTGAATGTTTGTTAGTCAAATAACTCGGAGTGAAAGAAATGTGGCTTTGTAGCCATAAAGTTAGGGGAGGTGGACGCACGCTGGTTTAAATCACGTGCAGACTCCGCCTGCGCACCGCAAAATACGCCGGAGTTCACGTGGGGCGAAACAAAAACCACCATCCAGGAAAACAAGCCGGTTTTAAAATACACACAGGTGACGCAGCTACGTTCACCTGCTGCCTTGAGCCGAGTGCTGTCCCTCTGAGGAGTCGTGACATTTCATGGATTTATTTATTCACGTGCCGAGTAAAGCCCCACCTAAAGTAAAAATAAATAGTTCGCCCCACAAAGTAGTTCCTCCAAATAAATAATGTAAGTTACTCGTTTACTGAGCTCGCTGCGTTTGTTTTGTTCTGTGCATTTTTCAACTATTTAAACATTTTTAAGTGAAATTTAAAATAATTTTTAGTGATTCATTCTGGGTTTTTTTTAACTAATGGGGCGGTACCGTTCAATGACCCATGTCTGTCAAGTGGATTCGAACGTGCGGCCTGTGATCCAAACAGGTAAGTTCCAATAGTTTCCTTTGGGGCGTCAGATTTTCTGCCCTTTGGACACATTCGGCTGGTTTTAGCACATTGATCTGTGGACACATTCGGCTGATCTGTGGACACATTCGGCTGGTCTTAGCACATTGATACAACATCTACCTCGACCTGACGCGAGTTAAAACTCAGGAACAGCTGGAGTGAAACCTGCTGAGACCAACAGTGGAGATATTCTGTTTATAAATCCATTTGAAGCAGACACACTGAAACAAAACAGGAAATGTCCAACAATTTTAGAGGAGCTTATTTAAATAATTATGTGGCTCCTCGTGTGTGTGTGTGTGTGTGTGTGTGTGTGTGTGTGTGTGTGTGTGTGTCAAAGTTTGAACCAGTAACTAAATAAAGTGTTTGTGGGTTTGATCTCCGTTTAACTCTTCAGTGATGATGCATTATAATTTTTCACTTTCAGATTATTTTTGTTACTTTTCACTGGACTTTTCTTCTTCTTCTCTGATTTAACTGTTAAAGTGGAGGATTATTTCAGAATTTTTACTTCAAATCAAGTTAAAAGTCCAAACCAGGTGTGGGTCAGTTTCTCTTGATTTATTAGACCGGACTGTTTTTCACAAGACACAACCTTTGTGTTTGTTTAACACACGCACAAATACGTCTTTTTTTATCTTTACAGAGACTTTTCATTGACTTCCATTCACTTGTGTTTTTATTTCTATAACCCTGACCCTAATCCTTAATCCACCAACACTGCTCTGGGCCCCATAAGGAGCTGGTCCTCACAATGTTGTATGTGCTGGAAACATGGGCCTCACAACGCAGACACACACACACACACACAACAATAAATTGAATATTAAGTAAACTTTATTCTCATCAAGTGTTTGTTTTCGCTCAGGAGCAAACACTGAACAAAAGTGGCCTAACCATGGTTTAAAGCGGAAGTCTTACCTGGCAGGTGTGCGGTCTGCTGGATGACCCACAGTCGCAGGAGGTTCGGTTTCGTCCTCATCCTTTCAGTCTGTTTATAGTGTCGGTGTCGAGTTAAATAATCTGCATCACGTTACTAAACTACAGAGGGACACCTGGGGGATTGTCCCTCTGCTCGATTAATGTTCAGGGATTCCCAGACGTTTCTTTTTCCCATTCGGCGTCACAGGTGAGGACAGGTGAAAGGAGTTTACCTCTATTCTTTTTTTTTTTTTTTTTAACCTGTAGAAACACAATGAGGTGGAGTGTTTGTTCCACAACATCGAGCAGTACCTTGATGAGATCGATGCGCTGCTTTGTAGTTTGACAGCTCCCCCTGGTGGTCAGATACTGGTACTGCAGGTTGTTCAGTTTGTAGTTTGAC